GGTCCGGCACGGGGTCTGCTCCCACGGGTCTGGGTCCGGCACGGGTCTGCTCTCACTGATCCGGCACGGGGTCTGCTCTCACTGGTCCGGCACGGGGTCTGCTCTCACTGGTCCGGAACGGGGCGACTGGCATGGTGCCTCAGCGTCTGACCGTCCGGCATGTGTGTGCGTGACTGCGGCAGGTCGCAGCCGTCAGGTTGAACTATGACTCAGACGTTGGTTCATCCGCACCGACCGGAGGCCCCGTCTGAACGGTCGGTGCGATTCAGGATCAGACTCAGAAAGTCTGAATGGGTTTCCTGAGTCTGATCCTAGAAAGATATCATCTCGTGCTTCATGCTCTGCTCTGGATTTTGGATTTGTTTTGGATTTTTGAATTCTGGATGGATTTTTTTTAAATTCTGGATTCATGCTCTGGACTTTGAGCACCACACCCCATCGCATCCACCACGAAAGCGCGCTTGCCAAACCACTTGGACCACGTTGAGCGGGCCCTAATCGATTACAGCTCGTCGTCAAACTCATTTGGACTCGACCGCTCATCGACACCGGTTTGCACCCACACCCACCAGCTACCTGCCGCGGTCGGCGAGAGCGGGCCGCGCGCCCCTCGGCTGCCGGAGAAGGCCGGCGCCGCGCTGCGGCGGAGCACACACCTCTGTCGTCTGCAGGCCGCCGCTGCTGACGAACGATTCGCCGTACATCCTCTCGTAGCGCTTGATGCCGACCGGAGAGTACTGGTGCTCGTCCAGGAAGTTCTGGAAGCTGCTGAAGTAGTCGCTGGTCGGTGTTTTCCGCAGCAGGTACAGCAGCTGGTACGGGTTGCCGTAGTACTGGGAGAACAGAGATAAATAACTGGTTTGGCCTCCCGCTGACCACCCAGATATTCTTGGCCTTTTTGCTGTTTTGAAACTGATAAAGTTTGCGTTTACTTTAATTACTTATCGCATTGTTGTTACACAGTGCGATGCTGTAATGTTCTCTGATCCTGTAGAAGAATGTAACAGCGAACCTGCGGCTCCCCGGTTTATTCAGAAAACAAGCAATTCGAGGCTAACCGCAGGCTCCAGAACAGCTGTGTGTTGGGGTAGGAACGCCTCAGCTGGACGAAATCATTGGTCTAACCTTTACAAAAACGTCCACGGAGGCTGCGTATCGCAGTGTAAACCGGTACTCTGTAGTTTCCGTCTTCAAACTGGGCCCTTGCAGTAGACTGCAATACAACGGGGGACTCCGGTAGAAAGTAGGATTTGTTTGACGCTGTTTGTTACCTGAAACACCGTCACACCGCTGAAGTGCGGCTCACTTTTACCATTCGTGCAATAACGATAATCATCCACAAAGGTAGCTGCTTGCACACACGTGCAGGTGCACGGTTTTATGACGCCGCAGCTTTGCGTGCCACGTCAGGCGCCGCTCTCGTGATGGCGTGCTCGTGGGAGCCGAGTCACGGAAAGACGGAAAACGAACGTCTGAATCAGCGAGAGCAACGTCGGCCGGCATTTCATGGGTGCGATCGTCAAGTGGTGCTATCTGACGCTGCTTCATCGACAGTCGCCAGAGACCAGGTGATGCTATCTAAATCAACAGGCTGCAGGATGGGCGGACGGTTGCTCACTCATGACTGTTAAGTGACGTCAGACCTGCTCTGTTGGAATTACCTGATTGTTTAATGCACGACTCCCGAATGAAGAGGTAACCATCGGGCTTAAGCCACTTGAGCATGCCGCTGACCAGCTTGTCAATCTCCTCGTCCGAAAGGTACATGAGCAGCCAGTTGCTGAAGATCATGTCGTACTGGCAGCTCTCCAGCTTCAGCTGGGTCACGTCCATGCAGAGGAACTCGACGTTGCCCAGATGCTGGTTGCTCTCGCGGTTCTTCTCGATGTACGTCTCGAGGAAGTCGACGGCGGTCACGTGTCTGGCGCGCTCGGCCAGCTTACGCGTGAAGCGGCCGATCCCGGCGCCCAGCTCCAGCACGCGCATCCCGCCCACCTGGCACCGCGTCACATGGTCACACGTCACACACAAACGTGAAGTGGCCGATCCCGGCGCCGAGCTCCAGCACGCGCATCCCGCCCACCTGGCGCCGTGGCACATGGATACACACACACGCACGCACGCACGCACGCACGCACGCACGCACGCACGCACGCACGCACGCACGCACGCACGCACGCATGCACCACGCACACACGCACACACACACACACACTCACACACACACACACACACACACGTGAAGCGGCCAATCCCAGCGTCGAGCTCCAGCCGACCTGGCGCCGTGCCTTATGGTCAGGCGTCGCACGCACGCTCCTCGCGCTCCATCTGGCAGAGGCGCCTCCTTATAGGCGCAGGAGTAAGGGCGGGGGATGGACGCTTGTTCCCAAACTTTTAAAGTGAGGACGGCACCCGCCTCTCCCCCTCCCCTCATCAACGTAACTTCGACGGAGCTGATCTTTTCATGTGTAAGATCAACTATTTTTCTACAGAAATATGTTTTAAAATGCAAATACTGCTAATAGCAAATGCAGTAGGAATTCACCATGACAAATACAGAAATTCACCCCTGTTTTTGCTTGCTTTTATTTTCCCATGTGGCTATATGTGTAATTCATTCATTTGTCGATTGAAGACAACGTTTTACTTATCAAAAGTTGGCTATTTTTCGGGGTCTCGTCAAAATAACGTACTGTCCAGCGGTGTATAAAATGTGCACTGCTTTGTAATCATCGTATGCAGCACACACAACTCGAATCAGGGGCGGAACCATGATTTCGTCCAGGGACACTTCACTGTGGTGCCCACTGGAACTTTATTGTCCTGCTCACAAAATGTCCCAATTTATTTCGGGAGGCAAATTTTCTTCTTTTGCCTTTTATGTTGAGCTGCTTTGACTGAAAAGGAAGCCAGAGGATTCGACCGTGCATGCATTTAGGGGTAAATAAAACGAAATTAGCCAGGAATCAAAATAATGCATCGAATAAGCCGCGAACGACACAAACTTAAACGTGGTTCATTCAGCTCTGCCTACAAAACAATACCAGCGGCAGGGGCGCTGCTGGATTTTCTCGAGGCTTTACAAAGATCTTGAGGGGCACGTGGATTGAACGCTAGTGTGGATCAAAACAGGGCCAGCAATTTCCATTTGATATGCCTAACCCTTGTTCACCTGGGAAAGTTTATCCTTGCTTGAATATCCACCATTGAAAACTACATAATGCAGCTTTAAAAATACGCACTCGACGTTTAGGGGACGAAACACCGGCACCCGGCCTTGCAGCCCGCTTAGGCCGCGCGACGTTGGTCCCACTCTACCCGGAGGTGGTGAACGGCGGGCAAGAACCTTTCTAAAAGTGCCGCTTTCGCACAGTTAATGAAAGCGACTGGAATGCCTGTGAAAGGTGTCCCGGGCCGTAGGTGTCACTCGTGCGATACTCAAGTTACGACTTATCACGCACGGTACCATGAACGCAGGATGCGATGGTGGAATGTATGCTGCTCGCGTTGCTGTGATTGCTAATTCCGTTCAGAGAATCAACCCCGAAGTCGCACAAGTAATCCTTTTGGTCAAGAGCTCAAGGGCGTTTTCGTCCCAGCCCAGACTCAGAGGCTGCTATCCTGGCGATACTATGGGACAGGGACATCCGGGACAGGGCATCCCTGATCAATACGGAGGCCCTCAGAGGAATGCATCATACACCGGTCTCCTCCATGATGTGACAGTGCCTCTGAATAGAATATCTGGCACCGGATACACGCAGGGTAATGGATGTGAGGCCTTGCGTTGTCAACTCGTATCTTCTTTCACGGTAAAGTAGGCCCCGTCCAAAGCAAAAGACGTCAATGACATTCGTGGTTCCGTCCCTGTCCCTGTGCAGCAAATTGTCTGGCCGACCTGGGACCCACTGCCGGTACTGGGGTCTCCCATTTAGCGCTCTGGACCCTGACCAGCACAGGGTCGTTTCACTGCTCCAGTGGTCCCGACCAAAGTAAGACTAGAGACCCTTGTGATCAAGGGCGGATTCGGGGAGGGAGAAGGGGTCATGCCCACACGCAAAGGTCGCGAAACCATGATTTGCCGCCCCCCCCCCAAACGGCCTGACATGTGCTGATATGTGCATGTTATGTCATGTTTCTAACAGCTAACCACGTAAGTTCCTTGTTTTGCTATTATCGGGGCGGTCATCTCTATCACCAGTTAGCTCGTATCCGCAGCTTACGCCGATTTCGGGTCTAACATCAATAGTGCTCACCGCCCACTACCTAATAATTCCAGAGTTTTTCAAGAATTTGGCTGTCTGTTTGGGGCCGGAGAGACTTCGTTAATGAATATACTTTCCAAAATTTGAAGGCGTCTTTTGTCATTGCTCGCCCGTAAAATGTCAGTGCTGTCTGTCAGTTGTTGTCGTGTCCATGTCATGTCGTGTTCCTGTCGCATGTGGTCCAGAGGTGCCCCGTCACGTAAGTGCATTGTCAGGCGTCGTGAGAGTGCCGTTGTGGCCACACCAATGTAGTGCATGGAACGAAGTTTGCAACCTTCCATGTTACATTTGAATTGATACACTACATTGGTGCATTTTAGTTTGTCGGGTTTGTCTGAGTTGTTTCTCATGACAAAGTTAGAAATTTTCTTATTACGATAATAAATGACGTCTCTTTTGTGGTCGTTTTGCCTTTAATATGCCGAGAGATAATTTCCCGCACAGCTTTTTGGTCTTGTTTGTGGGCGGATGTCATTTGATTTTGAAAATACAGTTTTGGTTGGTTGGACGTCTTGTCTTGGTTCACTGTCAAAGTGTCTTGTCACATGTCCTTGTATTTCGTTTTCAACGTCATAATTTGAAAAACCGTTTTTCACCAAGATTTGTTTGATTCTTAGCAATTCTGAATGTAGCCCTGTCCAATCAGAGCAGTACATGAGTGCACACCTATTGAACGACCTTATGACGCTAATTTTGTAGCGTCGAGGACACTCACTGTCAGAATTTAAGCACCTTCCGTTGTTAGTCTGTTTTCGGTATACAGTCGTTTTGAATTGTTGTCCTTGTCCATCGACAGTCACGTCAAGAAAGGGTATTATGTTTTGCACACTTAGCTCTTTCGTGAAATTTTAAACCAGACTGCTCTTCGAAAGTGTTTTTGAGACGTCCTAGTTGTTCAATGTCTGTAACTTCCACAAATTTATCGCCTACGTAACGGCTGTAAATGTCCGGTTTTATGTCGTCATTTTATAGTGTGTTGGCTTCTACGTGTCCCATCAAGAAATTGGTGAATAAATGTCCTAGATGTGAGAGCATCGCATCACCCTCAATTTGGCAATACATTCGTCCATCAGGCTCGCGGAAAGGAACTTCCAACGCACAGGCTTTTAGTAATTGTTCAACAAGGTGCTTTTATATTTTGACAGGAGGAATTTTGGGATGATTATAAACGTGGTCAAGGATGATGGATATGGTTCTTTCAATAGGCATGTTTGTAAATATATTTTCAATGGAAAGCTTAGTAGACCCTTAGGCTGACGAGATCGCTTGTGATCGCGCGGCTCCTATCAATAACTACTGAGTCAGCAGTAATTTTTAATCAAACGTGTATAAAAGAAATGATTCTGCCAAAATTTTCCAACACACACACACACACACATGCATACATATATATATATATATATATATATATATATATATATATATATATATATATATATGTATGTATGTATGTATATATAGCATGTCTGGGTGTGAATGTGAGCGCCTCTACGTGTTTTAAATGACATTCCACAACAGTGGTTCCCCAAAAACAGAAGCTAGATCTGCCCCTGCTTGTGATTGGCATTTGAGGGCCTTGGCTCTTTCCTCCATGGGAAAGGAGCCCCTGGCACTTAGACCAGAGTGAAGCCGACTTCTTGGTATTGTTGGTCTTATTCAATTGATCGCATAGAGGCCCTCGCTGTCTTACGAGGCCCTCCATTGGTGCGAGAAGTCTTTACTTGTTACATTTTTTAGTTCGACCTTCCAGCTGGGGTCCCTTCATATGATCTCCGGCCTGTCCTTCGGATCCTCCAATCGGACCGTTGGTTATCGGCCCCACGGTGGCCCGAAGAGCCCCTCGGAACCCTCGGGACCTAAGGTCCTATGGGGGGGGGGGGGAGGGAGTACGTATTCTTTGCCCCTTCTTGCGCCCTTGATGGCTATGCCTTTAAAATTTGGTTCCCCGTAAAAAGGGCAATTTGTGGCCATTTGTGGTGTTCCCTGGAACTTTTCACTTCAAAATTGAAGTTCTGGGACTCCTTGTCGTGCCCCATTGAAACTGAGTGTCTCTTGAAAATATGGATTATGATGCACTGAAATGAAAGTTAAGGTGCCCCGAAATGAAGGTTTTAGTGCCCGCTCGCCGGAAGACCCGATCCAGGATTTTGCCAATAGGGCGGGACGGACATTGCAGTGTCCCCTGGATTTTGTTGTCGCTTGAAAAGGAAGGTTTTTGGGCCGTTTGTGGGACCTCCCCATTTGGGCAGCTCTGGAAAATGCAAATTATGGTACCACAAATGAATGTTGTCGGTGCCCTTCTTCGAACGACCAGATCTAGAATTTCGACGGAGTGGAAAGTACAGAAATTGTGGCGCCCGCGGAATTTGATCTCTTTTAAAATGACCATGGAGAACCATTTAAATGATCTGTCTGGATCTGGTGACTCTCGAAAATGAGGATTATGGTTCCTCAAAATGACTGTTTTGGTGCCACGCCGTCCAAGTGACCGATCCAGGATTTCATCAGGGGAGAAGGCGCAACATTGCAGTTAGGGACTCGTTGTAGTCCCCTTTGGAATGAGGCGCTCTTGAGAATATATGCTCTGATGCCTCGAAATGATGGCTTTAGTGCTTCTTCGGTGGATGGTCTGATCCAGAATGTCGTCAAGGAGCACGACATTGCAGTGCCCCTGGAGTTTCGTGACTTCCGAAAATTAATGGTTGGGGCCTTTCGTGGTGCCCCTGGGATTTGGAGCCTTTTGAAAATAAAACTTGCGTGGCTTCGAAACGCATGTTTTCGTGCTCTTCACCATTGGGGGTCCAGGGAGGCGGTGGAGGGGGCTTGGCCCCGTTGTCCCCCTGGATCCGCTGCTGACATAAATACACGAGCTGCCACCGCCACTGACTTAGTTACAACACTAAGATAAAGCGCCCAGAAAGGCCAGCGTTTTTTATTCCTCAGTGAGGGAAACTGCGAGGCGTCGGACATTAAAATTTTCTTTGACCGGGACTTAATGTAGCCGGATGTTTACCACCTGGTAAAAATGTAGGTCTGTATAGCAGTACACCTAATGTCACCAGAATGCTCCTTCCCTCCTAATAAAATCTCGTGTTTGATCTCACCGCCGGATAAAAATCGTAACGGCTGAGCGGGTAAACAATGCAATATAATGTGCGCTAACAGCTGAGCGGCTAAGCGATGCAATATGCTTTGCGCAACTAGGGCCATAAGACACGCAAAGGTTTGAGAGGTTAAGCGAAAAAAAAACTCCGGAATGCGGCAATGAATAAGCCTTTCATGGCTATCACTGTGCCCCCAAATCAAAAATACGCGCCGCCGTGTACAATTACCACAGAAGAAATCCTTCGGTGCCCTAAGGCAGCCTATAGAGGGGTGCTGGCGTTTTCATAGCAGAAGGAGCATGTGCCTCCATTGCCACCCGCTTTTGGTCTGCCCCTGCTTGGTTACTGCACCGCTCAGATTAAGGGCTTTTTCATAAATGATACAAAATCCAACTTAAAAAGTACACCCTTCATATAAAGCGGGCTGAATATGCTAAGAATGATAGCGGGGGGGGGGACTCGTTGACCCTCAGTTCAGGCACCAAAACATAATTTTGACCTCCATCAGTGATAACAAACACGTACATCATAACATAAACGTAATTTTGAATATATATATATATATATATACATATATATATATATATATATATATATATATATATATATATATATATATATATATATATATGATACATAACAGCGCAATATGTGTAACATCACTTATCCAAAGTACGGCTAATATTCGATAGGCATTGTCATTCATCCCGAATATATATATATATATATATATATATATATATATATATATATATATATATATATATATATATATATGATACATAACAGCGCAATATGTGTAACATCACTTATCCAAAGTACGGCTAATATTCGATAGGCATTGTTATTCATCCCGTGATCTAGTGATCTAGATCACGGGCTGTGATCATAATCTAGATCACTAATGGTGATCCGAGTGATGGGATTGGTCATAACGCAGAATTACTGCAGGAGCTGCCTCGACGTGCGGCAGGTCATGGGCTAAGCATTTCGTGACAGACAGATGAAACCCAATATGAAAGGGCTGTTGGCACTTAAGACATCCGGTTCTTCCAGCAGCATTGCTTCCGTTGTTAAGTACCGTGATCGCGGCAGCCGGCAGCACTGGGCCAGGGTTATGGGTGGTGTTGCGTGCCGATAATGCAAATGTCACCATCATAGTGAATAATAAGGTAGATGCTTTTTTAAGTTTAATCCAAAATTTTTGGACAGACGAATTTCTGGCGTCAGAGCTGACGCTAAGCAGTGTTTCTTGTATCAGCCCTGAACCCTACCATCCAACTGCGCAATTCCAGGCGAACGGCAAACTTTGGCGGCGAAAGTTAAACATGCCTCACTGTTCGGCTCGGCCCATTCTACTCTCTGGCGTCTCCAGACTTTCAGCGCGGTCGCTACCGCGGGTCGCATGCCATACTTGTCAAGGACATGTAGCGAGCGCCTAAAGCGACTCGAAACCATCCCGCCACGGGTGGGTGGGTCGGAAGGCAGGTGCTTTAACCAGCTGAGCTATCGGAGCACGTGAACGAGATCGTCACGTGCTCATGGAAGGAGCGCGATGTAATTTATACAAAAGGACAGCGGGGAGAAATTGATCCGGTTCATCTTTCGAATTTGACTTCCGCACCAGGTTGCGTGTAATTTTCAATAACGTTTCACTAAGTCCCTCTTTTCACCAAGTTTGAAAACCATTTGGCTGAAATCAGGACGTAGAAATGGGGAGCGGGTTTTCCAGGTAATTTTTTGCTTACCTCCGACTTTGATAATGTCCACGCGCCCATGAGTCCCCCACTCACATGTGATGGAAACTAACGTCAAACGTATGTTCCATCTCCAGTCTACCTGCTGCGCAATTAACACGCAAGTCCCCTTCTACCTGCATGAGGCGAAAAGCTTTGTCAGGCGCATACCTGGCGCCCTAGCTTTCTATGGTGGGGCTTAGCCTTCGGTGCTTTTTGGAAGCCATCCATAAATTACGTTACGTATTTTTGGCAATGTTTCAACCCTCCCTCTGTCTACGCATGGCTTGTACTGCATGAAAGCCCTCTCTCCGCCTTGGTTACGCCGTGTTAGGTGTAACGTCCCCAAACAAGTAAGTCCGTTTGCCACCTTATAAGGCGGGTGGAGGTGTGGAACGGAGCCGTGCATGTTGCTTGCCATTGGAAGAAGCGGCCGGTGTTTGGCTTTAAGGTCCTAAAACATAAAAAACGTGATCGTGACTTGTAACCACCTTTGAGAGCAACGTTACGATGTGCACACTCCCTCCCCTTCCTCTTGTTACGCTTTGGTTGCGCTCCACCAAAACCACCCTCTCCCTCCATGCTTAACAAAACGTATGGACAGCCTTTTATCTGTGGTCATCCATGGCGATACGAAAGGAACATTTCATACTTGCCAGTTTCAACGCAGACTGCGACGCTCTTAATCCTTTGATAAGATGCGACGTAGATTAACACCGTTTGAACCCCACTCCCGAACAAAGGATCGGTGCGTTATCAGACGGAGCGGTGTGACGGATAGCAAGCAAATGTGCCTCGCCGACCGTCAATACGGCGCGGAGATCTTAGCACAACATACCGCACTACCCAGCCCGATGCGCCGCTGCCGTCAGATATGCGGCGCCTCCCTCCCTTCTACAGGAGAGGACGAGGTCAAGCACGCACCCCCGCCCGCCCCGCTGACCTGTGGCACCGAGTCGAGGATCTCCACCTCCTCCTGCTCGGCCAGCTGGCGGGCGTCCTCGTTGAGCATCATGTTCTCGATGGTGGGCTCGGAGAACTGGGACCAGTAGTCGGCCATCTGCTGCCGGACGCCGGTCGCCATCGCCCGCGGCACCAGCCACGGTCCGCCGCTCTGTCGACACAGGTCCGCACGCACGGCCGCTGGTCAACGGGGGCTCCAAACGGGCGCGGCCGGCCGCCGGCGGACAGAGCCGCGCTCAGTGCAACACACCTGGGCACGGCGGTGTCAACGAGCCCCGGGACAGTTCGCCGCGGTCGATGACTGACCCCGCGACGCCGATACCAGGCTCGGTGGGTATCGTTGCCGTTAGCTACTGTACATGCACGGTATCGGAGGATCGCGCCCCCGGATCTCGGTGGCCGCCCTGGTGGGATCTTGGGGCGGCCTAAGTACCTTAAAAAGCTGGTGTCACCTCCCTTTGTGCATGCGGTAGGTTGCTAATTTCATTTCCGACCCGGCAAGGCAATATGCTCAGTTCGACTTCCATAGGATCGAGCCAAAGCCAGTTTCCAAAAGACGTGGTGTCACCCGGGGAAAAAAGTGGATTTAAAGAAACTAGCACGATTTTGACCATACCAGTCTGTTAACAATGGCAGGTGGCTGAATCCGCTGCTGCGTGCGGATCAATACATGCCTGTTTACAGGAGCGCACTCGGGATGCTCCAAACGGAGGGCTACAGACTTTCCGGCGAACGTCGTGCGTTTTAAAGGGCTTTATAAAGATATCCGACTGACGCTATCGACCGGATTAAATTTATCCGGATTTATTATGCCGCCTAATTTATCGAACGGAGGGGTGGATGCGGGGAGGAGGGTGAGGTGGGGGGAGGGGGGACGGGGAGGGGGAAAGTCCCCTGCTCGCCGAACGGTAACCCCAGGATTCATAAGCTTACAAAACCATTATTCCCTCATAGCTCTGTCCTCTGAAGCTTGGCTTTACTTGACGGTGTTGCTGCAGACCAAATATCGTCTTGACCCGTCGGAACGTAACGAAGGCATACGCATGCAATGCAATCGCCGCCGAACGTAACCATACGCATACAGGAGAAAAGGTCACCGAACACAATCATACGCATACAAGTGCAAAACGACACCGAACTACGAATACACATGGAAAACAATACCGACGCTGCAGGTATACAGCGTTGTGCCGGAATCTTCATGGAAACAGTAAACCTCATAGGAATAGAAAACTTGAAACCCAGTAATTCGCCACGAATTGAACATCCGTGAAATGGTTTGGAGCTCAATAATCACATTCAACAGAAATTCACGACCTCTTCGATTTCGCTCAAGCCTGACACACGGTTAGCCAATAGGGCCTCCAGCCTCCAGCTGAACGCATTCTATCTTGCATTTAGATGTTTGACTTCCAGTGGTTATGAAAGGGTCAAACCGAATAAGGCATGGATATGCATTGTGTCACAAGTCATTCGGTTCGTCTTTCAACAAGTTGACAAATGTGGGATTCAACGGAAAGCATATCATATCAAGGTCTTTATCGTCATCGGGAACGGAAAACAGCGTAGGAAAAAGCAGTTTTTAGACGATGTTGTGCTCCCTCAGCGACATGGCATCCACGGGCGCCTGCTTCGACTTTCTTCAAAGTCGGATTAAATGTCATCAAGGTAAAATTAGGTTCACCCTTTCCTTGTAAGCTCATGAAACCGTAACCTCCAAAGCTCACAGTGTAGTACGTCGATATTCCACATTGGTGATAACCATGGGTTCTCTGAAATGATAGTGCGTGTGGTGGTGGTGGCGGGGGGGGGAGGGGGGTGGGGGGGGGGGGGTAGAGTAGTGGAAGCTGCAACAAGGGACAAAATACCCTCGGATTTCGTGTATTTCTGTTCTGGTTATCCGTTACATACATGCCTGTGACTAAACTATACCTAGACTTACTTCACGTTTCTAAAGCTTATGCACGTAGCCTCAGCAATCACACGTAAATGCCTGCTAGTTCGCATCAGCTTCTTAACGCACCCATTTTGTGAAGCTGAAGAAGTGCAGTTGCACCTCTCTCCAGCACTCTGAAAAGTGAAATACGCGTATGATGCATTATGACGTGCTTAGGCAATTTGTGGTACATTCGTAGCTGTATTCGCAGGAAGGGGGCTTCCGCAATATCTGTCGTTATTTCTATTTGCCTGTTAAGCGTTAGTCCAGACGCCGTTTCTCCCTACAGCCCAAATATGACACTGACGCTGGTGAATCACCGGTCTCGTGGAGCCTATCATGACAAGCGACATTTAGCGACTCTACCCATGGTGGGCTGCGACACTAATACTGCTTTACTTGAAATTGAGGCCCGCGTGGCTTTGCTGTAAGGTCTCATGAGAGAACAGAGTCGGGTTTTTTGGGGGTGGAGGTGCCATCGTTAATTCAGATCATAGATCTAGTTCAGCTACAAAATAAGAAACAATACGAAAAACGAAATTCTTTCCAGGACCGATTCTTTTTTATTCTGTGCTGAACGTAATTTATTGCTGGCACTAAACTCACCATCCAGTTATTGTAATGCGTGTTCAACGGACCCATTTTGCCTCGGTCCGTTATCCAAATAGCATGAAAAAACCCTTATCGTGCCATGGGACTACCCGACTGTCGGCCGCCCTGTAGACAGGCTGACACTATCAAGCCAACGGCCAAAGGTTCCTCTTTGACGAGGCCTATACGAACACTTATTCTGGCAGGCGTCACGCGTCTCGTCACATCACAGGGTGGTCAGTAGAACAGCTGTGCTCTACCAAAGTTGACCTCCCACCAGGACGGGTGGTGTGCCTGCGGGACAATCTACGTTTTTTTGCGGGCATTTTACGCATTGCAGCTGACGGGTTCGGAGAAAGGCAATGTCCGTAAGCTGCCTCTTAACTTTTTCTTTCTTGTCGAGAGCTGTCACATGTGGCCTTCAAAGCAGTCAAGCACAGTTAGACTCGGAAAAATGCTTGACACCATTAATTTGTGGTATCGTTTTTAACATCCCTTGCGCTTTTTGCTGTCAGATCAGAAAATGTTTGAGCATCATCTGCAATCCTGCGGCGAATGCGTCCCTTTATTTTAGCCCCGCTCTTTACCATGGTACAGAATTCAGCGGCTCGAAAGTGAATCCAACTTTCCGACTTCAAGGAAAAAGTGCCTCACCGTGTGCGGCGGATAATGACACCATTTAATAATTTGCAGTCTTATGCATTTAAGTCACGCTTGTTTTGCGGGCTGGTCATTTATCGCATTGTTATGCTGATAAACAACTAGTCCACCTGAAATTGAAATGGCTGACATTGGATAACGTGCACGCTGTGAACAAAAACATGCGAACGCCTCAGGGACGCGACAACAATTTAGCATGCATTTTGTAAACCACGGTTCAAACAGCCTCATTCTAGCTATTGTTTTACAGTGTATTTTTATGCGCCTTATGGAAGCAATTTGCTTTTAGCATTAATCCGACGCAAATTTCGGTCATTGTAACTTGGTGATTATAAGTTGTGGAACATAACTGAGTATTGTTATGCATGTTCCTTATGATTATGTTGTTGATTACAATTGCTGGTGTCATGACGTAGTTGAATTAAAAAATATGATACGACGCCAAATTCAGTGTAAGATTTTAGCACACCGCTCGCGTGTCGCCCAAAAGTCATAGCTTAAATAAAGCAGCCCTGCTTTAGACGGGGGTGCCGTGCCCACGACAAACGACAAAAACGACAAAACAACCGTCCCACGACAAAAAAAAAGAACATTGGAGTAGATGGTGTAATATGGCAGAATGGATTCGCCTCAAGCCTCGCAACTGAACCCTTTAATGTAGCCGCATATTTATCGCACAATAAACACAAAACATTTATGTTTGTCGTTTACAGCAGTGCACTTACCGACACTAGCACCCACCTCCCCTTGTAATCAAAAGTGGTGTTGGCTCCCACTGCCAGATACAAATCGCAGCTGCTCATCGGATAAACGGTGCAACGAACTTAGACACCTAGAGCCATAACACACCTTTAGAAATTGTTTAGAAATTGCTTTGAAAGGCTCCGGAGCGAGGGAATCATCTCAGTCCTCCGTGACCAAACAACGAAAATCGAAAGCCGTGATGTCAATTTGAGTTGAGTACAGGTGACTAAAGTTGTCATACTTTTAAAAAGCTCCACGGTAGTACACTGCTTTATCGACTCTGACTTTTTCTGCATGCTGCATGTTTTTAATTACACACTTAATGCATATATATATATATATATATATATATATATATACATGCATGCACATATTGGCATATATACATGCATATATCTTGCTGATTGTGGTAAAGATTTGTGCTATTACCTCAATGTTTTAACATTATTTAGCGATGTTTCATGTTCAACAGGATGCAGTAAGCTGCCCTTTGTTACCCCGATGTCTTATGGGAGATTGAAAACGAGTCGGTGGAATATCAGCGCCAAAGAATTGATAAAGTTACAGCTGTCTACATTCGGAACGACCCTGGAACCTTGCCGACCTTCACTTCGACATAGGCATTCGATCGAACAGTTACGAAAACCTGACGATAGATGCCAGCAGACTAAACTGATAGCAGTTATCATTCTACACTGACCATCAAAACAGTACTAACCATGTCGAACATACCTAACGCGGGTGCTGCGTTGTAACGGCTGCACACCGTCTTGCAGTCACACCCGGGGGTTTCTGTGGCAGCCTTTAATGGTCGCAGATATCAACTTACATTCTTCTCACGTAACCGACAACGTCTGGAGCAATATAACATCGAGCGCAAGTCGATCGCCGAAACCTGGTTTCGACGCTCGACAGCAAACAACACGACCATGGCACTCGACAAGAGCATTTTCCGCTGAGGCAGAGCGCGGAGCACGACTGCAGGCTCCTTTTCTACTGAGGACTCGGGTCGCCACAAAAGAATGCAAATCGACACCGGTGCCCTTATTTCTCTAAAACGGTTTGAAACAGGTCGTTGAGATTTGCTTGCTTTTTGACTAGCTGCTCCGCATAAAATATCAAAATACTGATGTTCCAGGGCCTTCTGTTCCAAGTTGTTTCCAAACTGTGTGAAATGCATTGCGTGCCACTAGTGCAGGTTTATAAAGACCATTTTTCGG